ATGGCGGCGCTAGATATGGAGAGGGTTTTTCTCGAATAACTTTCGAAGTAGTCAAGATAGGAACAAACTAAGGGCATCATCGTGATCCTCTCGTCAATCCGCATCGAATGATATATATGTTGACCTCGAAAGGTCAAGGTCAAAGGTTGACCTCAGGTCACGTGACCTCGAGGTCATCATGTATATCATTCGATGCGTCTTGACGAGCTGAACACAATGAGACCATCCGCGCGGCTGTATCTTGTTCCTGTAAGGAGTTATTGGCAAAAAACCTTTGGTGACCTTTGATGACGTCACATGACCTTACAGCTGCCCAACAGCAAAACAGACCTCAAGGTAGTGAAGGTTGATCGTATGTGAAGTCATGTATGGTATATGGGGCCATTCCGACCCGTTTTAGTGGTAAAAACAGGGAGTTGATTTTTCCCCCATTGACTTATAATGGGGAGGTCGCGAAATTGACCTGACCTTAGGTCACCGACATCAAAATTCCGAGATATACAAATTGTAGCTACTAATGACCTAATAACATTCTGCGACTTTCAAAGGCCTCCGACATCTACTGTAGCTCTGGCACGGTGACAAAGTTGCAAAAAAGTGACTTGAGGTTGGGTCATTCAAAGTGACCTGGTGACCTGACCTTAAAAGTTAGGAGGTTCAAACTTGCACACCATGTGTAAAATTGATGAGAGAATAGTCATACCAAATTTCGCGGCGCTACGCACCGCGGTTTTCCCGCTATCTGCGAAAAACCTCAGGGGGGGCGGATATCCGCCCCCCCCCGTCGGTGCGCGGGTTAAGTGGTATTCGAAGTAGCGTCGAAAGCAGCAAAAAGAAGAAAAATACTTCAGCCAATTTTAGATCGGTTCAGAGCAAAAGGTCATGTCACCAGAGGTCATCGATGGTAAAATTTTGCTTGGACAGGATGCGTTGTGCGCGCCGGTGCATTGGGTTTCCAATTTCCATGGAAACATCAACAGACTCGGAAGCTCGTAACGCTTGCGTGGAGCCGAATTCATATCAACCGCCGCTACAATGCATGGCAGCGCAGCGCAGCGTGCTGCAGCGCGGGGCCGTGAAACACCGCCCAGGGCTATCCATGTATCAGGGCAATCCAACCCACGTGATGGGCTCGGCCCCAGCGGAGCATGAGGCTCAGGACTCCCGCCCAGGCCCCCTGTCTCCCCCTAATTCCTGTCATCCTTCCCACTCTGAAATCGACCGAAAGAGCCTAACCTAACACAACAAGCAGCTCGTTTACCGCTATGTCTGAATAATATTGTCAGATTTAATTAAGGTCAACGGCTTAGCACGTAAATAACAGCAACTGCCACCATCGGTATTATGAGAAAACCAATTGCTTTTCCACAAACACTAAAAGTTTTAAGCTAAACCTGCATGAAATTAATTTTACCAGCCTCGTGTTCCTCCTATCAAAACGCTTCGAATGAATCAAAAGTTGATCTTTAAGCCTCACCGGCACAGGCCATTTTGCATCCTTCGACGGCACAAGGGGGGGGGGGTGGCACGACCCCCCCCCCCCTCGCGCTTGGCCCCTGATTGAGCTAGAGCTTCACGGAAAAAACGAGCGTGCTGCCCGTCACGAGAGGAAGCCGATGATACCCAATTTTAAGGTCCTAGGTCATCGGGTGACCTTCCAGGTCAGGTCAATGACCCGAAAATCGGGAAAATGGGGACCTATTAGAAAGTCGTAAAGTGTGGCTGCTATGGGGTTTTCCGGGGTGCTGATCACGAATATCGTGCTAGTTTTGATCAGAGATGATGTCTTAAAGCATTTAGACCAGGTCGGGTCAGGTCAGGTCAGGTCAACCGGTAGGGGTCACGACGGGCATTCGTAATACCTGTCATCCGCCTCTGACAGCTTCGTAACATGTTACGAAGGCACCAAAACTAACTTCGTAAATGTTCAAATGGTTGCTAAATTCGAATTCAGCTCCAAAAACTGGCATAGAAACATGTAAAACTCGAAAAAGTGAACCGAGGTCACCAAAGGTCAATGACCTGACCTGACCTTCAGGTGATCTTGACACCCACCCTAATGCATCGGAGCAACATCAAATCACATGTTTGAACGCTTGAAACCACGAAAAGCTTGCAAACGCGCGGCTAATGCGAGCCGACATACGCCGAATCGCGATTCCGGCCAATGGTCTCGGAAAAGAGGTCACAGCCCACAGGTCAAAGGTCATTTGGGTCAGGGTCATGAAATTTTCAGGGTAGGTGTAAGATTGATCAATGCCAGGGTACTGAAAGTTTCGTCGCGATCGGCCGCTTTTTACGCGAGTTATTCGCGAAAAACCTTGGAGGGGGGTTGCATCAACCCTCCCTCCCTGTGCCGGCGAGGGAGGTCATTTGAAGAATTTGGCCTATGTTCAAAGACATGCCTATGTTAAAAGACATGACCTGACCAGAAATGGTCATGATGGATAGCAGGATATTAGATCCGTATCGTGAAACTTTACTAACACTTTAGATGATTTCATAACTTAAGCATGTCTATCAAAAATATTTATTACATGGCTCATGTGTAAGCTGGGTGTGTGATCATGCTTACGAGTACCTATGTTGAACGCAACTGATAATGTTCTGTTGGCCACAATTTCTATATTTAATTTATCCTCCCGGATTTCATATTTTTATTAATGGCACCTTGACGATGTCGAGAAAAAAACGCTTAGAAGATTTAAAAGCCTGAGATACATTCAGTATAAGGAAGGGTCAAGTGTGCTAGATTCCTTCCGTCCTCGCTATCCTCAGGAAAAACCAATCCGCATCGCCCCTAGTCTTCATGCTTCCCTCTCTGGACTGGAGGTCACCCCACCAGCCAACCTGTAGTTGATGTCGGTTCCACTCCAAGACACATAACCCTCTTCGGGTGACCGTTGGGGAGACGGCTGGACCGCCCGACAGGGCAATCGTCCCACGGGAACAGTCACGCTTCCGGAGTCCGCAGATCACTGTCGCTGGCTCGCACAACCAAATTACGACACCAGAGCATAGTTATGTCATAGCTCTGCAAGGACCTTCTCAGGCCGAAAAAGATGGCTCCCAACAAAACAAACAATTTTCTCATTCAGTATTGTATCTCATCAGGCACCACATGTTTTCAGAGTGTTTATTATGCGTTCCGTCCAAAAAAAAGCGCAGTTCAACTTTCTCCCATTGACTTTAGCGATCTCAAAATTGACCCGACCTTTCTGTCAGCAATGTCAAACTTGCAAAGTAAACGTTTCAAATACATATACTGTTGCCCATTGAAATCACTGAAGGTTCTAAAGCGATCGGTTAGTCGATGTATTTAGATATGATGAGCACAGGAACTTTCCTTGAGGTAAGGTCACTTGACGTGACCTGGTGTTATGACCTTGAATTGAAAGACTTGGGCGGGAAAAATGGATCATTTGAAATCTTAAAATGCTAGATTTTAACAATAATTGCAAACACTATCCCGGCCAAATAGTGAGTGAGAAGGGAGCGATTCCCCATCCCCATGTTTAGCTCCTATAATTGAGCTAATTGCTAGAGCCTCGCGGAAAAAAACGAGCGCTTGCGTCGTTACGTGACGCAGCGACTGTCACCCCATTTTAAAATATCAGTGACCTCTTAGGGCAGGTCAAGGGCCCAAAGGCATTTGATCGGTTTTTGGTGAATAACTTCGCAAAAAAAGGTCGCATTATCGTCATTTCGATACAATCGTGTTTTCTGTTCAGTGTTCTCAGACGCGTCGATTTATATGCTTTTTTGCTTAGGTGAAGCAATTTAGGATGTTTAGGTCAATGTCATGTTAGGGCAACACAGGTCACGAAGCTGTTGAAAGGAGGACATGCTGCGTAACATTTGATTCGGTAAGTCTTGCAGAGTCCATTGATGGCTGTCCCGACTGGCTAGCTCATTTTGATCATCGGGAGTTATTGACGAAGCACTCCTATTGACGAGCACTCCGATACGCAAGGTGAACAATGCAAAAGTGAAGCATTAAACCTTGCCAAGAATGTATGAAGTCACGATTTCATGTGCATGAGGTATAGTTTTAGCTCATTTCCGACGCCAAATTAACAGTTTCCATACTTTCCCATTATGCTTATATCATGACACTAAGTGCATTATGGATTTGCATCATTTTATAACCGACAACCGTGCAGTTTACAGAGGTTAGACGTCATAGTTAAGTGACCTGACATGAAAACGTGGTTAAATGATCCGGCTTGAATCAAATGTAAGGCATATGAAATGTCAGCCTTCTATCATCAGTGTGCTTTGAGCTACCGCAAAAAAATGCATGGTGGCGGCATCCACCCCTTCTTCTCGGCTGGCGAGGGTTAAACCTCGCTTCGAATTATTGCAGATAATGATGCGACCGAAAACAAAGCATTTGTCTGTGTCTAGAACGGCCGCTGACTTGTTGGACAAGATCCCCAATCTTAATTTGCTAGATGGAAATAAAATACTCGGCATATGATACATATATACCCCTCGATTTGCCCTCGCGCAAAGTCAATTCTAATCATCACTTTCGCTTTTTTATCTGAGATGATGTCGCCACTAAACGGGTTGTTTTGTTTGCTTGCTTGCGTTGAATGGTCATTACGGATTATTGAAGGATTACGATATAATAGGAATGGGGCAAGGGAGGATATGCACTGCAGTGCAGGTGTTTAATTTAGATCACAAAGGCATCGTTTCCGGCATCGTTTCCGGCATCGTGCAGAGTCACTATCTTCTCCTCCTCTGCACTGCGGCATCTCTGCGCCCCACACACGGCGTCCTCACTCCATGGCATGCCGCCGCCAACTGACCCACTCGCCGGGCGCCGCGACCTGACCCGTGTCACTGCCGCGGCCTGCGCAATAGAGTCGGGGCTGGAATCCGGGGGTTCGGCCGGCCGGCCGCCTCTGGAGCGGGGGACTTTTTTAGTAGACCTACTGTACGTGCGGCGTAACATCCATGTGTGACGTGTGTGGTGGTGCTGCGTGCGGCAGGCGCGGTCCGGCCGGCGGCTGCGAGCGCTGGGTGCAGCGCGCGCGCTGCTGCTGCTGCTGGCGGCGGGCGTCTGCTGCCACCTGCTGCTGATGCCGGCCTGCCGACCCGACAACGAGCCGCGGTCAGACAGGGAGAGGGACAGGGAGGGAGGGAGAGGGAGATGCTAGAGGATGACGTCACACCTGACCATTGATAACCAAACCTTATCTGTGTCCAATCTTACCAAACGCCGTGAATGCGCATTGCGCATTCACGGCATTTGGTAACACTCATAATTATTCAACATTCATTAATTCATTCATTCATTCATTCAGGCAACATTCACAATTATCCACGCCATTAAGCTTAACATATTCGGCGAGATTAGCTGGACGTAAAGGAAAATAAAACATTTCATATTACAACCGGTAACTCAAGCGAGTGATCCTAAATCCGGCATCATTGGTAAGATCGGTCCCAAGACAGGGTTGACACCTATTTTAGTCTAGGGTTGAGTGTGGGGAGACCGGGGCAATGTGGGCCGGGCCACCATAATGTTAGTGTTTTTATGCCGACGGTTCATTTTTCGAACTTGGAGAGATTTTTCCTTTGTCAACATGATCCCTATTAAATTGCCTGTCATTTAAACTTCATTCATTTCTAAAGGCGTCCACATAATGGGTAATATTGGCAAAACTTTACACCTATGCAGGCTGCTCACTTTGCCCCAACTCCCGGGGCAAAGTGGACACCGGCGACTTTTTTGTCCCGACTTGAGGAACAGGATAGTTGCCTCATGCACGGATTGAGTTGTTGATGGTACTAAGGCTTAAATGAGGATGGATGTTGATTTGTCAAACGTGCTAGAGTAGTTCACCAGTGTGTTATATTCCGGTTTTTGAGTAAAATCAAAAACTTTTTGAAAAAATCAAAAAATATATTTTCTGTAATTGTAAAAACATATTTTTCGACATTTTCAAAGTTTCGAAAATTCGAGATGGTAGTTTGATTGCTACGATTTTTGCAGTCCACCGATGCAAAGAAATTGGATCTAGCTTTAAAACTAAGCTCTTGAGGGCGTTTGCCGTAATTCAATATTTTGCATCAAAATCGGCCGAAATGACGTCACTCTGACGTCATTTCCGGTCAAAATATGGTAGCTAGAAAGTTGAAATTTTAACACAAGGTGTTAAATTGATGCCGCTGAAGGTACTGCAAGTTTTGTGTTGATCCAGCGAACGGTTTAGAAGATACGGCCGAAAAACGGGAGGGGGGGCTCTGTAGATCCCTCAGTCATGCGCGGGTTAAATTTGTAGGTAAAATAGATCTACTAAGTCTGGAAGCTAGGGGTGGGTGGCAAGCGCTTTTCCCCACCCTACACTACTTAACTTAAGATTAAGCTTTTATCAAAGGATCGACTCATATACCAACCTAGCTATTCCGGGATAGTTATTCCGGTTATTTCAAAAGGTCAAAAATAAAGAAAATGATATTTTTTAGTAGTGGATACGGATAGGTACAAACAATAACAAGGTTCGGCTTGTACCTTCCATTGAGACATGGACGGCGGAACGGGGAGGGCACCGGGGCACCGTGCCCCCTTTGATTTTGACATTTTAACATTAGCCCTAACATTAGGCGTTGCATGGAAAGAATGGGACCAAAAATCGGCAGTGCCCCCCCCCCCTTAATTGAAGCTGTTCCGTCGCCACTGCATTGAGAGTTGTGTTTGAAATAGTTTCCGACGATAACTGCCCCCCACAGAGCTAATATATGAAATAATAAGATATGAAATGTGTTTTCCTCTGCCGTCTCCCCTATCGCTGATTGAAAACGAGTGCTTTCCTTTGTCCTCTGGCGCGCCCAGTGCTCCTATTGGAGGCGGCTGTTTCCCCGAGTCCTCTGCCGCGTCCAGGCGCTGGTCTGTGAGATGTGCGCTGTGGTGCTCTGGTTGGCAGAAGCTCGGTCCGATCGGAGCTGAGCTCTGTGGCGGCGGCGCTCAGCCGGCTGGCCCGCTCCGCCGACGCGCCCGGCCGGCGGCTGGCCGCCGCCGCCCTCAGCTCCCTGCAGCGCGCCGGGCGCCGACTCCACCTGAGCCTGGCCCGGCCGACGGCGGCCGACCGCGGCGCCGTCCGGCGCGTCTGTCCCGAACACTACGTCAACTCGACGGTCGGCTACCCGTTCTTCTACGACGGCTGGCGGTCGGCGGCGTGCCCGCTGCGCCGCGACTACGGCCGGCTGCTCACCGTGCTGCTCGTCGTCGCCGAGCCGGCAGACGTGGCGCGCGTGCGCCGCGTCCTCGCCGGACTCAACGAGCAGCTGCCGGGGGTGCCGGCGCGCGTGGCCGTGGTGGACGGTCTCGGCGGCCGCCTGGCGCCGTTCCGCGACGTGACCGAGGTGCCGGTGGCCGCGTCGGCCGGCCGGCCGCCGCCGCTGGCCGCCCTGCTGAACCGGCTGCTGGCCGGCGCGGCCACTGATTACGTGCTGCTGGGCGCCGAACTGGAGCGGCTCGACTCGGACGCCGACCTGGAGCGGCTGCTGCGGGAGGCCGAGCGGCAGCGGGCGGCCGCCGTGGCCGGCGCCGCGCGCGGGCCCGACGGACGCTGGTCGCTCGGCTGCTTCCAGGTGCGGCTGGCCAACTACTCGCTGCGCTACCGGGCCGGCTACTGGCGCTCCCGGCACGAGTGTGTGCGCTGCGACCACGCGGCCGGGCCGCTGCTGGCGCGCGCCGAGCTGCTGCGCCGCTGGCCGCTGGCCGACAGCAGCCGCCTGCCGCTCGAGCGCTGGCTGCTGGACGTGCGCGGCGCCGGCCAGCAGCCGGTGCTGGTCTGTCCGGACGTCATGTTTCACGTGCGGCGGCAGCGGCCGGCCGCGGCCACCGACTGGCTGCAGGAGGCGCGCCGGCTGCACCTGACGCTGGTGGAGCCGCCCGCCGGCGGCCGGCTCCAGTTCAGCTGCCAGCAGCTGCGGCTGCCGTGCGAGGTGCGGCCCGGCCGGCTGCTGTCGCCCTGCTGCCGCCGACAGCTGCTGCGACTGATCCACGCCGTCCTGGACGACTGCGAGCGGACCGGCGCCCTCTGCGAGCTCCAGGAGGGCACGCTGCTCGGTGGGTCGGCTGAGAGAGAGAGATGGCCTGAAGGCGTTTCTGAAAGTGTACGTCACGCTTGGATGTGTGTACTTAGTACTTACCCATGTAAGGAAATATCATTTATGAGAAGAAGCAGCTCGTGTCCGTCTGCAGGTGCTGTGAAGTTCGACTACGTGTGTCCAGAGCCTGATTTGACTCTGTGTGTTTGTATCCAGGGGCTGTGAAGTTCGGCTCCGTGTGTTTGTATCCAGGGGCTGTGAAAGTCGGCTCCGTGTGTCCCACCAAACCGATACCAACTTGGTATTTGGTATTTCAATCGTCATGTACTTGGTATTTTGTTGGTATTGTGAACCCTCACTTATGTATAAAAGGCTGAGCAATTGGTTAAAAGTCGGTATTTCCCTTATGTTATGAAGTTGGTTTGGTATCAGTATTTCTTCATGGCTTATGTTGGTATTTGGTTTGGTATCGGTATTAAGATTTTCTGCATTTGACATCACTAGTCCAGAGCCTGATTCGACTCTGTGTGTGTTTGTATCCAGGGGCTGTGAAGTTCGGCTCCGTGTGTCCAGAGCCTGATTCGACTCTCTGTGTGTTTGTATCCAGGGGCTGTGAAGTTCGGCTCCGTGCTGCCGTGGGAGCGTGACGCCGACATCGCCTTCAGCAGCGGCGACATGGCGCTGCTGGCGCTGCAGGCCGGCCAGTGGGGGCTGAGAGGACTCCGCTGGGTGCCAGGTGAGCACTGGCCGCAGCCCTCGCCAGGACAGCCAGTGGGGGCGGCCAGGTTGCAAGGGCTCCGCTGGGTCCTAAATGGGTAGTGACGATTTGACATCATTTGCTGCCAAACCTATCATATGATAGCCTTTGGAAAAATTGTCGGTCACAATGTGTAAAACTGATGCCCGGGAGGGTACTGTAAGTTTGGTGACGATCGGCGTAGCGGTTCTGGAGATATACCCATTGAAAAATATGGGGGGGAATAGCATCCCCCACCAGGGCGCTGGTTAAAGTGAACTTTTAAATTCCACTCAAAATTAAGGGAACTTTATTAACCCGCGTTGGGGGGGGGGGGGGACAAAGGGCCCCTCCTGTGGTTTTTCGCAGATAAATCGGAAACGGCTACGAATTTCGACTTGAAACTTTAAGTGCCTCTCTGGCCATCAATTTTACACAACTCCTGAAAAAATAGGTCCCAGGTCATATCAGGTCACGAGCTATAGAGGTCAAACTGAGGTCATATTCGGCGATTTTTCGTCGAAAAAGTTGCTCACGGAGAAAAAATCGCAGAAAATCAGGGTTTCAACTAAGTGACTTAAAAATTGGACCGTAGGTATGAAAAAGCATGGCAAACAAAATGGCCATCTAAATTTCCAAAATATAAAATTCTCTAGATCTAGGGATTTTCTAACTCAACATTTTGATTAATTGAGATTTTTTAAAATTTGTGGAAATTTTCAATAAACCGGAATATATGTTAGAGAACCTCTAACTGGCCTTACACATGCCAAAATTTAACAAAATATCTCTAAAACTGCCTGAGATATAGCCATTTGAATGACTGAAAAAGTAGCGACTGTTCTTATGACGTCACAATATTTTCGATATTTGTGCTTGAAATCAGTCAGGAGTAATATTAATGATTCTTATCAACCTCTTGCTCACTGAATATGATCCTTAACGTGACTAAAGTCACCTTTACGCAAAAAAAAATGTTTTTCGTTGTAAACCGGTACAATTTGACCTTATTTGACCTTCCAATGACGTCATAAGTCCAAGAAAAATGGTCAAGGAGGTTTCTGTGGATGCATATGTATGACATGTCTTCAAAAAGACTTGAATAATCACAATTTAACATGCCTTTCCTTACGATTCACAAAAGTGTTTTCTGATTGGTCGAGACTGACCCCTGTTGTGAGGTCACAGGTCATCATCCACTCAGGTGACTATCCACATGCCAGGTATATCATGTACCTACATCACATCAGACTCATTTTGAAAACTTAGATTTCATTTTTATGACCGACTTCTTGTCATTGCCAATTGGACTGATTTGACCTTGGTTGACCCTGTGATCAAGGTCATCGATATCCTATCTTGTGCATCTTGATGAGTTCTTTCGATTGCCGTCTGAATTTTTCCGATCCGGTGATTGGTTCCGGAGGTACGACGGGGGGCCCTTTGCCCCCCCCCCCCCAACAGGACGTGGAACCTGCCAGATCTCAACGGGGCACGGGTTAACTAATAATGCTTTTAAGTTAATAGCCTCATCAGAATGCATCACGTCGCTTAGCATTCAATTCGGCTGATCACAAGGAACACATTGACAGGCCATTTTTTAATATGTAGCTTCACTGTCTACCAAGTAAATAGTAAACACACATGTAGTTTGAGCCAATTTGACCTCAGTTGACCTGACCCTAGCGTTTTTGCAGCATACAAGTACAAACTTGGTCACGTACCTATTGATATCCACTTAGGTAGTACTAAAACACCAAAACAAGGGGAATGGAGCAAATATGCTTCTATTCGGAGCCATTCATCAATTTTTCCTTATAACTGGTCATGAGTTCTACTTGGCCTCAGAATCAGGTCACCCGACTGAAAACATGTAATGGCAATTGGCAAGCTTAGCCCATTCTGCAAGTTTGGATCAAATCGATGCAAAACTCTAGGCTTCAAAGAAGAAATAGCGTCATTTTAGTTTTATTTTGACACTGTAACGTATTTGGTGACCTGGTGACCTTGCCTGAGGTCAATGGCACTCCACATTTTCAGGACGCGTCTCAACTAATTATTTTAAACCGTGTCTGAAATTTGGTGCCGCTTCGTGCCACGGCACGCTGACGCTATTAAGGAAAAACTTTGTGATTCCGTCGCCGCTCAATTGCTTTAATTTTTTTACCCTGCCTCGTGTGGGTTTTGTGACCTGCCACCTGGTACCCTGACCTGAAAGGACTGAGGCTTGAAATTTTTAGGATGCGTATGTGCCTAAAGGATGCTCCTGTGGGGATGCTGAATTTGGCGGCGTTACTCGCCGCCATGTTTACGCTATCTGCAAAAAACTTACTGGGGGCTTAAATCAAACCCCCTCGCCGCACACTGGTCGGAAACGCCCTCACGGGAGGCCACGGGCGATTCCGGAGTTTCGGATTATTTTTTATATAGATCGATTTGAAATTGATCAAATTATTATAATTAGGCCAAAAAAACTAATCCGGGTGACCAAAAATAACTGTAATCAGCCCCCGAAGATGGGGTATCCCAGAACTCGGAAACTGACGCGGAGCAAGAGGTTTCTAGAGCCGGATATTCAGAGTCTTATTGCTGATAGACACCAAATTGAAATCCCACATATTATGCATCAAAATGTTTGTTATGAAGTTGCCGACTGGTCAGTGCAAATTTTTTGGTATACTTTTTCCCCAACTAAGATCTACTGTAGCTTTTTTATGAGGGCTCTCCTAGAGTGATTCTGGAATATAACTGCAAAGTTTAGGTAAGGAAACAACAGTTAGTCCCATCTAGTCCCACTCTGATTTTTTGTGAGATGAAGCAGGATTTAAATTTACACCAGGGCAACATAAAAGCTAACTGCGCATATTTGCACAAAATTTACAGGAGCCGCTATTCCTACCCAACTACCGCCCGCCCCGCCCCAGTTTCGGCTCGGCCGCCGCGCCCGGCTTACGCTGACCTGTGTGGCCTGCACGCATCCATGCGTAGTTGACTGGTCATTAAAAACAGACGCGCTTGAGTTTATGAATTTTGTGGAAAGCGCATACAATATGGTTTTATTATTGCATTTATGTATGTCTTGACATCAAAAGCCTTCCACATATTGCGTGGCGATTACGGCTTGCATTTAGAGAGCCTTGCTATTAGTAACCATCACTCGGCTGAAGAAAGTGGAAATTGAGACCTTCGTGAATATAAGACGCTGCGAATATAGGACACCTGTCACTGGCGTCAGGTTACCTTGGGCCGTCTTTTTACATTAGATCACAATTCCGGTATTTAGCCCTGGCCGGACCGATTGGTTTTCTATATTGACCGGGGAGGGTTGATACAACTCCCTCGCCGTTTCGCCTCTAATTGAGCTAGAGCCTCGCAGAAAAAAACGAGCTTGTGTGCCGTTATAAGACGCAGCAAGTACTACCCGATTTAAGGTCTTAGGTCAGCCAGTGACCTCTTAGGTCAGGTAAGTGCCACAGGGCACGGGCTCGGTTTTTGGTTAATACTTTGCCAAAAATGGTCGCACTGCCGCGATTCTGGCATCATCGTGCTTGTCTGGCTCAGGAGCGTCGAATGCTATACTTGGTGTTCGGGTGAAGTCAACTTAAGGCGTTAACCTCGGGTCAAGGTCAGGTCGGAGCCCCTCAGGTCACGAAAATGGTTGAAGGAGGACATATCGCATATCACTCGATTCGGCAGGTCTTCCCGAGTCCAATGGTGGCTTTCCCGACTCTCTAGCTCCATCTGATCAGGAGTTATTGACGAAAAACTTATATGGCCTTAGTGACGTCATAAATGACGTCACGCAAAGTCAACAATGCTAAAGTGAAGCACCGGACCTTGCAAGGAGTGCATGAAACCATTCCCGGTGCCCGAATAGCAGCTTCCAATTTCCCTTGTTCACTTAAAGTGGTGCTAGATCCTGTATTATACTCAATTATGACGTCATAACTTAACAGATTCACGTCATATATTTAGTGCTTGACATCCAAATGATAGCTTACATATGACAGAGAAGGTATGCAAAGTTTTATGAAGTTTGCTTCACTAGTTGTGGAATAACAAGCAAAAAACTTTTGCGGAAAGGCCGCTGGCCTCTCGCTGGAGCGTTTCCGACCAGTGTGCGCCGGGGGGGGGGGGGGTCGTTAAAAGACCGTAAAACACGGGTGCTACGTGTTGCCGTTTTTGGTATTCTCGAGACACCGTGGGGCACAGAGCATAAAGCGTCCCTCGCCAAGCCCCGGTTTTTAAATCTAAAGATCTGTATCGCTTCACATAAAAACAACATTCCTATATATTTTATTTGGGGGTATTCATAGTCCCCCCTCCCGTTTTTCTGCAAGAACTTTTAAACCGCTTGACGTATCGACGCCAACTTTCAGTACCTTCGGCTGCATCAATTTGACACCTTGTGTCGAAATATGAACTTCGTAGCTACCATTAGTCGGTCGGAAATGACGTCAGAGTGACGTCATGCTCGACCCATTTCGACGCAAAATATTGAACCGCGGCAATCGCTCCCAAGAGATCAGTTTTTAAGCAAGATCCAAATTCTTTGCATGAGAGGATTTAGAATAGACGCTATCAAACTGCTGTCCCAAATTAAGGGGGTCGCTAATTAGGCACCTTACCCCATGCCGATTCTGCATCCGACTGAGGTACATACCTCTGGGCTCTGACACTGTGTGCGCCTGCAGAGAGCGAGCCGTACTGCTGTCACGACAACCGCACGGCCGGCGGCGTGGCGAAGGTGTACCAGGACGACTGGATGCTGGAGCTGTGGGGCCAGCACTGGCTGGACACGGAGAAGCTGCGCCGCCACGGCCTGCCGCCCACCAGGTCCGCTCGAATGGGTGCAGCGAGCTCTTCCAGGGAACCGTTGGTGGGGCAAAAAGTCGTCAAACCCACACAGTTAAAAAAAATGCTACGCTGAACTAACCCTACAACATTGATTAGGGTAGTGTGGGGTAATTTGAACATATTTTTACGTCTTCTCCGTTGTACCAAATTCCAGCTCAACCCTGGATGAAGAAAAACTGTTTCAGTAGCGCATGTGTCACTTGCTTTCACCATGCAAGCCTCATTTTTGGACGAGCCGAGCATACCTTGAATAGCATAGCATCACTTCTCCACCAAGTCACGGTGTGTTCAAATTGCCCCACCGTGGGGTAATTTGAACATACTGCCTTTACCTGCCATAAAAACGATAGTCTCGCCAGCACCGATGTTGTTTGACCCATAAACGAATAGGCAGAGCAATTCTAAACATACCATCATTTGAAAAATCAACACAACAACAAAAATAAGAGTTGCAGAGTATCAATATCTGCACGCTGCATACCGGTCAGTTGACAGAATTCGCCTCTCTTCAATTAACAGAAAGCCTATCATCTCCGTTCGATAAAAACTCTACCAAACCTTACTACATCGGTTATAGTGGTGCCAATCGGAGCCTGGACATTCGGAGTTTCGATTCTTTATAATGTCCAATTCGGAATTGATTGCACAAAGGTATAGTTTTCTGGACAACGTTGGACGATGGCCTGCCACATTTAAGCATTTTTATCAAGTAATCGTGCGTAGCATTGATTGGCGAATGGAAAGCTTGTTAAGCTCTCAATATAATGAACACTTTTCGGCTGGTAAAATTACGTGATAAGCAATATAAATGACGGTTTTGAGTGTTGATAGCTGCATAATTTTCGGACATATTTGGACAAATAGTTGACTTAAACATTTTTTAACGGAAAATCAACGAAAATGCCGGACATTAGACGGATATTAGACGTAAATTTTCTAAAACTGATATCACTTATCTGCTACTGCTTTGGGTTGAAAATATTGGCAAAAGAAAACTGGGAGCGTTGTTTTTTTCGGAGCTATCCCTGTCTTCATTGAAATTATCACACTATGTTCAAATTACCCCACGCTAAAAGTGATTTTGCCATTTTTAAAAACAGGGTTCAAAAGCAAATTTCTTGGATTAAAGACACTGATTAGGTCATTGTACAACAAAAGCCGTTGCGTATTAGGCGCTAGCAATGCAAGATTTTGCGCTGCAATGAAGTTGCAATGACGTGTTGTTAGGCGTTTATCCTTGCGAAATTGATTTTTTACACTGTGCGTCAACATCTTCATTCCCTGAAACTTTAAACCCCGTTCATATGATAGCCCTTTTAGTGACGATACTTTCTCTCATTGGTCTTATTGTCATCCCACTAATGGATTTTCAGTAATTTTGTGTTATTCACACTATGTTCAAATTGCCCCAGCCCCCACATGTTCAAATTACCCCACCCTACCCTATACAGCGATTGTAGTAGCGCACACAACATTGATTCATCATTAATGTAACCGCGAGTGTCGCGGACCGTATATTTTGGTTGCCTCGTCTTCTGTCGGCGAAAGGCATTAGCGGCGCGGTGGAGGCATAGAGTTCGGCCGCGTGGCGGCGTCACGAATATTCCGCAATCCGCATTGTTTCGGGGAACATTCCGGTCTAGCCCGGCAGGCGGTGGGCCTACCAGCCACCTTCCACGCGGTGGGGGGGGGGGGGGCACTTTTTTGCCCCCCCCCGTATCTCCGAAACTACTGGACGGATCCGAAAAATTCAAACGGCGTTCGATAGCCCTGTCAAATTTGTCGAGGGAAACCAAATTTCATTGACCTCGGGGTCACCGATGACGTCACAGGTCAGGTCAAAGATAAAATGTTTCACCGTTCACAGGGCTTCTAGGGAAAGCGCTATAACACCGAGTAAAACGCATTTTGTCGAAAATCAGCGATAAGGCGTCAGTTGTCTAGTACATATGTTGCTATTAGAGGTCACTGGTCATACCAGGTCAGGTCACAGGTCAGGTCACCAAAGGTCACCAAGGGTCACCACATGAGCCCAACTTTACTAAGGTTATGTGATGCATGTTTTATGGCCAGTTTTTCATTTCCAACTCAATGGTGTTGTTTATAAGAGCATCAGGTACGGTTTAGGTCACTTTCTGGTGGAGGTCAGGTCAAGGTCAGGTCAAAAAAGGTCAAATTTCAAAGTTGATATTTTTGCACAAAATGGGTATCGATTCGATGCAGCTCGTCACGGGGAGTCTAATGGTGGTCTTTGTTTTGCGCTACGAGGTCTAGAATTGCTAAAAATTGAGTTTGAAAATTTGACGTCATCAATTTTGAACAGTTTTTTCGCTATAACTTGGCCAAAAAACGAGGTATCGATCTCAAATTTGGTATGTAGATAGAAGGCGGTAGGGACTATCACATATATTCCGGTTTTTTGAAATTCAAAAAACTTTTTGGATTTTTTGGCTATTATATTCAAAAAATCTATTTTTTGATTTTTGGGGGTCAAAATCCAAAAAATTGAAAAACCGCAATAGCAGTTTTGTAGCCCTTTTGATTCCACACCTTTTATGTCTAAAACATTTTTCTGTATCTCTAAAGCTGTAGGCCTGACAGCTCTTCTCGCGAAACCTTTTTTTGGGTCGAAAATGGCAAAAATGACGTCACTCTTACGTCATTAGCGGCCAACCTATCATAGCCTTTGGAAAAAATTTTGGTCACCATGTGCGCTAGCTGCTCCCGGGAGGGTACTGAAAGTTTGGTGACGATCGGCGCAGTGGTTCTCGAGATATATCGAAAAAAGTAAAGGGGGGGGGGCAAAAAATTGCCCCCCCCCCCCACCGCCTGGAAGGCTAGGGGTAAGTTCCTTGCCTCTAGATTCGGCCATCCGGGTTCGATTCCCGGGCAATGCACGTGGTATTGCCGCTACCTGACCGCTCGGAACAGCGTGAGAGTTGCGGACTCCGGTTAGCGCCTTGGTCCACTGGATGTGGTGCTAAACGTGCTAAACCCAAACCAACTAGTGATGTCAATTAAAGGGACAGTATCATCGAAAAAAAAATCCATGTATGGAGCTGATTTTTTTACTAGCATTTCTTATTTTTCTGAATCAGAAAAACATAGTTTGAGGACCGAACTCGGTGAAAAATATTGCAACCTCATTTCATTTTCATGATTCATTTTCATGAGCGAACCACCACTATACAAGCATGGCCGCCAGTTTGGAAGCATGCAAAATTACTACAGAACTGGCGCAGATAATACATTATTGACGCTACGCATACGCGGTCGTTCTTCTGATTGAGTTGTCCTTAGGGAGAGGTAGCCTTAGGTATTGCCTATAAAAATATCACGTGACAATTGGAGGGAGTGACAATTGGACGTGACAATTGACAATGGGAGAAAATATCACGTGACAATTACGTGATAAACGTCATACATTGGAGGGAGATTGTGATTCAAGCTGGAGGAATTCCTTTGATGAGCCGCTAGAATCCGAAGGAAACAGCGGAAATTGCCTACGACTATTTAATGAATTTAACGGTGATGAATAAGTGCGAAAAAACGTTTTGGCTTTATAAAATTTGATGAAATGACCAGGGTAAAAGTTTTATTACTGGCGGTCAATTCAAAACGGCGCAAACATTTAAGTGAAGCACGATTCAAAGCGTAGTACACCTTTCGTACTTTGAGCGGCGATAGCGGGATAACGGTGTGGAGCTTCGAGGATCGGTCTTCAGTTCCCGGACCAGAAAGGTGGGGCCTACACTGTAAACCAAATCTACAAGTTGGCTCCTTGTTACAAGTTTGGTTCCAATTCGCATAGGCGTCACCTTGTCGATACCTTGTCGATTCACCAACCCCAGGCTTGTTGGCCAACAAACTAACAGTTTGTCTACAAAATTGGTTCCAATTCGCATAGGCGTCACCTTGTTGAGTACTAGTTTGGGCCTTGTGGACCTACCAACTTCTGGATAGGCATAGTCGTTTCCTTGTCGGTTCACTAACCCCTGGTTTGTTGATGAACTAGCCTTTGAAGTGTACTAACGCTCTGTTCGAACTTGTTCTTCCTTACAATCGCTTTGTTTGCGTTGATAACCTTAAGAACTTACGATTCGCGTTCGTTTTCAATTGCCACGATACTGATTCAGGAAATATTTTCTATATGGACAGGTTATTTTTGGCTGGAATTGGTGCACAAAACCATGACTGGCATCAGTTATTGCTCAAAGGCTTGCGCTGACAAGAAACGAAATACTGATGGGTTATATAATCAATGAATGCATACACCACATCCATTCGGAAGTTTCTGGAATCATTAGTATTTATTACGGTCACGTAATTAATACTATTGACTGGAGACAATTCCGAGTGCATATTTTCGAATGGATGTGGTAAATGCATGAGGTAGGTATACCCAGTAGGTATACCTATCGTGCACCGTCAGCATATGAGTCTTTGAAGCAAGAACTGCTGCGTATGTGGAAGAACATGGGTTTGTGCACCGCATCAAGCCAGAAGTATAACATGCCCGTATGACGAATATTTCCTGAACATTAAGCATAACAATCATGCAGTTGCACGATCACGCAGATAATTCGAATAAATCATGATCGCCAACCAGATTAGCTTTACAGCCCATATATCTCCATCAGTTAAGTTAAAAATACAAAGAGTTGAATTAAAGGCAAATAAATGTATTTAAATATAAAAAAACACCGACCGCAAAACATCTGCTCACATGTGCATGCACAGGTCTGGCCCACATACACTGCGCGCGCAGGGGAAGGGAGGCGTCTCGACCGCGGGTATAGGCACGATTAGTGCGTCCCGCAGGCCTGAGGGGGCCTCACTCACAGCACGAACACCACAGTTCACATATTTCACTTTTTACTGCACAAATGCTGGAACAGCCCTCGTCGCTGCTCCAGGCTGCACGGCGGCCGCGCGACAACTGCTGGTTTGAAACCGCCGCGCCGCGGCGCGGCGGTTGGACCCGCTAACGGCTGGCGGCGACCGCTGATTGGTCCGCCAAGTCTGACGTCAGGCGCAGCTGACCATGTGTATGCTGACCAGCTGACCAGTACAAGTTAGGCGCCGGTTAAATAACCATGCGGCAACAAGTTTCCAAAACTGGTTAAGAAACAAACGTTGAAACAAATGTAGGGTTGGTCTGGATACTGAGAAGTTGGTGTGCATAGTAACTATTGACTCGTAGTTGTCACCTGACAAGCAATGCACCAGACAACGGCTTGTTTAAAAAGTATCAGTTGGTAAATATACCAAGAGATGATTGGTTATATTACACAAGACTTGTCAATTTGGTTTACAGTGGCAATGTCAAATTTCATCAAAATGGTGATACTGTCCCTTTAAGGAAAATCGTGATACCGATACCAAACCAAATACCAACAATAGGTATTTGGTTCCATGGATCCTATCCATGTAAAAATACCGAAACCGAACCGACTTGGGAATATGAGGAAAATACCAACTTGTTACCAAATTCTCAGCCTCTTTTACATTAGTGAGGATTCATAATACCAACAAAATACCAAATGCACTCGCCTTGAAATACCAAATACCAAGTCGGTATCGGTTTGGTATCGGTGTATACCAAACAGTTGGTATTCGATTGACATCTCTAAAACCAACCAGCCATCCGCATTGTTTCAATCAATGAATTGAAAGGCAGAAATTTCTGCCTTTCAATTCATTGGCGCAAACGATGTAAGTTTGTAGAAAATTATTGATTTTTGATATGTACTGTGCAATGTGTTAATGACCTACTTCATTCTAAACGGTTTACGACTGTGCGATACGATTTTCTGTTCGTTTTAGAATTTACGGCATAATACAGCTCGTATGTCACTGAATCACATTATTAGATGGTTGTAACAATTAAAATTGGTTGAATCATCCAGGTTGATTGTCAACATTGAGGATCAATCGACCAGGGCTGCGGAGTCGATGAATTTTCGGCGACTCCGACTCCGACTCCGACTCCGGCTTTCAAAAACCAGCTCCGACTCCGACTCCGACTCCGGGCAGAATTGTCGACTTCGACCGACTCCAACTCCCGACTCCGACTCCGCAGACTTAGCAGGGCTGCGGAGTCGACAGATTTTCGGTGACTCCGACTCCGACTCCGGCTCGGGTTTCTAAAATCGACTCCGACTCCGACTCCGACTCCGGTCACAACTGTCGACTCCGACCGACTCCGACTCCGACTCCGCAGCCCTGCAATCGACCATAACCGACTTTCGACATAGATCCAGCCAGACTTGTGACAGCTCAAGAAAAAAGTGAGCTCGCTCAGCTCAACTCCGTCTTATCCGCTCCCGCCCAGCTCCCGCTCAGTTAAACGCGGCTCAGCTCAGCTCACGTTCCGCTCAAACCGGCTGCGCTCCGCTCACGCTCAGCTCAGCTCAGCTCAGTTTCCGCTCAGCTCAGCTCAGCTCAGTTTCCGCTCAGCTCAGCTCAGCTCAGTTTCCGCTCAGCTCAGTTCAGTTTCCGCTCAGCTCAGTTCAGCTCAGGCCAAGACCCAATTGCCGAATTGCAATTGGTCTTCCAATTTCCATGCAATATGGGTGAAAGAAATTAAGCTTGATTAGTGATTACTATTGATTTCTTTAGAGTTTTGATATTTTTAAGTGCGATCACGAAGGCAGTGTAATTGCTCACTCCATAGCTAGCTCATAGCTGAAGCATCAAAGCCTGAGTTCATTTCCAAGCATGAACTGAAAAGAATTAGAACTGGATCAGCTCAGCTTAGCTAAATCAGCTCAGCTCAATCAGCTCAGCTCAGCTCGCTCAGCTCAGCTCAGCTCAGCTCAGCTCAATCAGCTCAGCTCAGCTCAGCTCAATCAGCTCAGCTCAATCAGCTCAGCTCAGCTCAATCAGCTCAGCTCAGCTCAGCTCAGCTCAGCTCACGCTCATTCAGCTCAGCTCAGCTCAAGCTCATTCAGCTCAGCTCAGACAGCAGCTCAGCTCAATGCATTACTGAGCCGGCTCAGCTCACAGCTCAACAATTTGGCAAAATGTTGAGCCGGCTCATGAGCTGAGCTGATTTTTGAGCCGGCTCAACTGAGCTGATCACAAGTCTGGATCCAGCATTGATTTCACGTTGATTTTACGTTGTGCCTAATTGCTTTTTCCATCGAAATCAGGTCGATTGTAGCTAACAGAATTACGTTGATACGACATTTGCGTCAATGATGATTCAACGTTGAATCAGAATTCATGTGCTACTAGGGAATTCTTTTCATTACAAAGATGATAGTTTGCATTTCACAGATATTTGAAAGCTCCTCCAAACGACAAAAAATTGCAAAGCAACAAAGCCCTACAGGCTACAACCCAGCCAGCAAACTTGGTCTGGGCCGCCGGCCGTAGCTGGTTTTACTCTGGGTAGCTGAGCTCCGGCATTTGTTCCGGCCAAAGTACGGGCAATGTCTGGGGCTGGAGCTGACACACGATCCCAAAGTCGCCCGCACCACAGCCGGACTTATGCCGTATCAGACTTATGCCGTACCTCAACCGTACCTACTTCAGCCACAGTAAGTCAGAGCAGCTACGGGGCAGCCGGACCTGGCCGTAGGGAGCCGGACTTGAGCCGTAGCAAGGAGCCGGAATCGAGCCAGACTTGGTTGTCCGAAACCATACCAACTCGGGAGCGCTGCGGCAAAGGCTGGCTAGCCGGAATAGAGCCATATCGACCGAAATCCCGGCTCTGACGGCGTTCCGTTTACATCGGCCCAAGTCTGGCATGTCGGAGTTGCCGGGGCAAAACGGACTTGAGCCAAACCAAATTGCTAGCTGGGACACCAGTTAGAGTTGGCTGACAGCCGCCACACCAAATGTATAGGAAGCTCCGTCCCTGGGTCTGCTCAACAACGCGAACGGACGCCGCCACTGGCTGCATGGCCAACCGGGCCAGGGCCGTACTGCCATTCGCTCGCAGTATAAGTCCTACTACATAATCGTCAATCACTTGATTGCATACTTGTAAATTATTAGGTACATGCTTGTAAAAGTTTCAGTGAGTCGGATCAGATGAGTGACCCCGTCTTCTGTATCCACTACAAATTCTTCAATTGTTAAAGTTCGAAGCTCGATTTCGAATTTCAGAAATGTATCGTACCTAGCTTTATAGAGATGGCCCGGCGTTGGTGGCGCCGTGCCGCGGCCATCCGGCCGGCAGGTGCAGCTGCGGCGCGCCTGCCGAGCGCCGACCAGCCGAGTGACCGCTGCCGGCCCCCACCCGACCGCCACCAGGGTGCAGCTGGACGGCCGCTGGTACCCGGCGCCCCGCAACCCGGGCCGCTACGTGCGCAACCGCTACGGACGCGAGGTGTACCGGCACGCCGAGCACTGGATGGACACGGGCCGCGCCAGCAGCTGGGAGCCGTACGACACGGCACGGTGAGAGCGGCCGCTGGGAGCCGTATACCGCACTGACCGGCCGCTGCAGGGTAGGACCGGCCGCTGGGAGCCGTATACCTCACTGCAGGGTAGGACCGGCCGCTGGGAGCCGTATACCACACTGATCGGCCGCTGGGAGCCGTATACCGCACTGCAGGGTAGGACCGGCCGCTGGGAGCCGTATACCACACTGACCGGCCGATGGGAGCCGTATACCACACTGACCGGCCGCTGGGAGCCGTATACCACACTGACCGGCCGCTGGGAGCCGTATACCACACTGCAGGGTAGGACCGGCCGCTGGGAGCCGTATACCACACTGCAGGGTAGGACCGGCCGATGGGAGCCGTATACCACACTGCAGGGTAGGACCGGCCGCTGGGAGCCGTATACCACACTGCAGGGTAGGACCGGCCGATGGGAGCCGTATGCCACACTGCAGGGTAGGACCGGCCGCTGGGAGCCGTATACCACACTGCAGGGTAGGACCGGCCGCTGGGAGCCGTATACCACACTGACCGGCCGCTGGGAGCCGTATACCACACTGCAGGGTAAGACCGGCCGATGGGAGCCGTATACGACACTGTCACTGACCGGCCGCTGGGAGCCGTATACCGCACTGCAGGGTAGGACCGGCCGCTGGGAGCCGTATACCACACTGCAGGGTAGGACCGGCCGCTGGGAGCCGTATACCACACTGACCGGCCGATGGGAGCCGTATACCACACTGACCGGCCGCTGGGAGCCGTATACCACACTGCAGGGTAAGACCGGCCGATGGGAGCCGTATACGACACTGTCACTGACCGGCCGCTGGGAGCCGTATACCACACTGACCGGCCGCTGGGAGCCGTATACCACACTGACCGGCCGATGGGAGCCGTATACCACACTGCAGGGTAGGACCGGCCGATGGGAGCCGTATGCCACACTGCAGGGTAGGACCGGCCGCTGGGAGCCGTATACCACACTGCAGGGTAGGACCGGCCGCTGGGAGCCGTATACCACACTGCAGGGTAGGACTGGCCGCTGGGAGCCGTATACCACACTGACCGGCCGATGGGAGCCGTATACCACACTGACCGGCCGCTGGGAGCCGTATACCACACTGCAGGGTAAGACCGGCCGATGGGAGCCGTATACGACACTGTCACTGACCGGCCGCTGGGAGCCGTATACCGCACTGCAGGGTAGGACCGGCCGCTGGGAGCCGTATACCACACTGCAGGGTAGGACCGGCCGCTGGGAGCCGTATACCACACTGACCGGCCGATGGGAGCCGTATACCACACTGCAGGGTAGGACCGGCCGCTGGGAGCCGTATGCCACACTGACCGGCCGCTGGGAGCCGTATACCACACTGCAGGGTAGGACTGGCCGCTGGGAGCCGTATACCACACTGACCGGCCGCTGGGAGCCGTATACCACACTGCAGGGTAGGACCGGCCGCTGGGAGCCGTATACCACACTGCAGGGTAGGACGGGCCGCTGGCAGTCGTATACCACACTGCAGGGTAAGACCGGCCGCTGGGAGCCGTATACCACACTGACCGGCCGCTGGGAGCCGTATACCACACTGCAGGGTAGGACGGGCCGCTGGGAGCCGTACCACACTGCAGGGTAAGACCGGCCGATAGGAGCCGTATACCACACTACAGGGTAGGACCGGCCGCTGGGAGCCGTATACCACACTGACCGGCCGCTGGGAGCCGTATACCACACTGCAGGGTAGGACCGGCCGCTGGGAGCCGTATACCACACTGCAGGGTAGGACTGGCCGATGGGAGCCGTATACCACACTGACCGGCCGCTGGGAGCCGTATATCACACTGCAGGGTAGGACCGGCCGCTGGGAGCCGTATACCACACTGCAGGGTAGGACCGGTCACTGGGAGCCGTATACCACACTGACCAGCCGCTGGGAGCCGTATACCACACTGCAGGGTAAGACCGGCCGCTGGGAGCCGTATACCACACTGACCGGCCGCTGGGAGCCGTATACCACACTGACCGGCCGATGGGAGCCGTATACCACACTGCAGGGTAGGACCGGTCACTGGGAGCCGTATACCACACTGACCAGCCGCTGGGAGCCGTATACCACACTGCAGGGTAAGACCGGCCGCTGGGAGCCGTATACCACACTGACCGGCCGCTGGGAGCCGTATACCACACTGACCGGCCGATGGGAGCCGTATACCACACTGCAGGGTAGGACCGGCCGCTGGGAGCCGTATACCACACTGACCGGCCGATGGGAGCCGTAGGCATACCACACTGCAGGGTAGGACCCAAGGCCATATATAGTAGGTAGCGACACTGAGCGATTTGTTTACAGCCAGTTTCGATCCCGATGACGCAAATGTGTCGTCACGAGACAAAACAATATGGCCACCTCTAATGAGAACCAAGTGCAATAAGTTCCCGGATGTAGACAGCACTGACGTCACCGGGATCGAAACCGACGACATCAGTACTGGACCTATGGCGAAGCAAAGTAGTGACATCCCCCTGTAGGACCGGCCGCTGGGAGCCGTATACCACACTGACCGGCCGCTGGGAGCCGTATACCACACTGACCGGCCGATGGGAGCCGTATACCACACTGCAGGGTAGGACCGGCCGCTGGGAGCCGTATACCACACTGACCGGCCGATAGGAGCCGTATACCACACTGACCGGCCGCTGGGAGCCGTATACCACACTGCAGGGTAGGACCGGCCGCTGGGAGCCGTATACCACACTGCAGGGTAGGACCGGCCGATGGGAGTCGTGCGATACTCGGGGCCCGACCCACAGCAATCCACATTCCACAGTAAAACCAGCAGCTGGGGAACATGGTGAGATCAACAGCTGCAGCACACATGTTATATGACCAATAGCATCTGAAGTCCGTACAAGAAGCAGCAGCTTCACTGCTAGTAAGAGCAGTAGCTGTAGAACAAGGTATCGTCAGCTGCTGGAGCCCACAGCGTGTAGGATTAGCAGCTCGAGTAGGTACAGCCCACCGCTAAAGTAATGTAGGGTTTTACCAATCTCAACGGTTGGCTTTGACTGGCGATTGTTTAATGCGGAGTGATCGAAAAGAAGATGTCAATAGCTAAAGTGCATCTGCAAGGGTGACGATACATATAAGCTACATTCAAAGTTTCATTGTAGCCTGGTTAATCGTTCCTAAGCTTCAGAAGCAGAACATACCCATGACTCAAACCGCACATTACTTCTGCTGTGGACTGTACATCAGGCCATCTGACCGCCGCGCCGGGCCGGTGTGCCGCAGGTTTTTGGCGTGCGACTCGCCGGGCGACCACAGCTGCCTGGACCAGTACAGCACTGACGGCGTGCTGCAGTTCGAGCCCGATGTCTGGCCGGCAGACGAGTGAGACACAGCTGACGGAGCTGACAGACAGCCGACGGACACAGCTGACGGACACAGGTCTGGGCAGGTCTGCACAGTTCTGGTCGTCGGCCACTGTCCCCGGTGTGCCCGGCCCTGTGTCTGTGGCGCCGATACCGTAATACTATGTGTATCTTGTGTATTTTAACCCTGTCATTACGAATTTCATTACCAAAAACTGTTCATATTTGTGCATCACTGTGGGCCGACCGCGTCGCTGTGTCAAGTTTAGCGGTCGATCCTGCCACCACCGACTGAGCAGTGCGTCTGCAGTGACGCGAGTAAGCATATTGTTGAAACGTCTCCGAGTTACAATGAAGGCGCTGGCAATGGAAATGTGCACAAAATTTCCTAAGCATATAATTTAACGATAGGTATCGTTTTAGCACCATCGCAACATATCTATAACACCAGTGGACGTTGGACCACTCCCGACAGAATTGTGGCGCAGGGTTCGCTTTATTGGATATACCTACTATGGCGATTGGGGATTAGTAGCGCCCAGACGGCGGAAGACGTCCGTGTCCATCTGGCTATACTGGTCTCTATCAGAAGCCGTGGCTGAATAGGTGTAACCAAAGACGTGTAAAAATAAACGATGTATATTTGGTTAAGATATTCTGCTCTCAGATCCATTAAAGTATCACGTCTGTTCCAACACGTTACTATCCGGGAGGTTTTGCGAGGGGTAGACACATGTAGCCAGCCGGAGCACTAGCTGCACAGGAAGCACAGGGCGCCGCGCGACCCGCGTCCACAGGCGGGCCCCTCCCCAACCCCTGCGGAGAGGCGGGCCCCTTCCCAACCCCTGTCCAGAGGCGGGCGAACGATATTGCGGTGTCTGAAGCAAGGTTATGCAGATAACGCACATAGCACTGGACGCACAAGAACATTAAGGCACTGACGTGCCATTATAAAACGACATGGGAATACTACCTCCAATCTCCAAACACTCATAGAGTTAAGCCAACTTGTCCGTTGAGGGATCTACATACTGCATAGCTTGAAAGCGGTGCCCCTCGCCAGCCACCGACAGGAAGGATGGGAGCGTTCCAAGCCGAGCAGCGCGGAGGAGCGCTGCTGGCGCGGCGCCCCGACACCCGGCGCCGGCGCCAGTCAGCCGCTCAGCTCCACTCGGCAAACGGGGAGGGACGGTGAACGCGCGCCCGCCGCAGCCGCAAACTGCAGCCCAGCGCACTGTGGCCCGTACCGCACAACGATGCTATCAATCTCTTCGTCAATAAACAAGGCCATCTACGATGTTACAGTACATACACAGGACATTATTCCCACCTTACAGCACCGCCGAGCGCATCACGACGCGGCCGCTGGCGCCGTCCGGCGGCCCTAGGCCGGCGGCGGCGGGCGCGGCGGCGGCGGTCCGTGCTTGCTCTGTTCGTGCTCGGTGATGAGGTGTTTTCCGGTGTCCTTGGCCACCCGTTTGGCGATGCCCTTGGCTCCGAGCGACTGCACGTTGTGTCCGGTCATGGCCAGGTTTCCGGCCGAGTGGAGCGAGTGCTCTGTGACGCGGCCGGCCTCGGCGCCGTACCGGTGCTCCACCAGCTGAACCGTGTTCTCCGAGATGCTGGTGGCCAGCAGCGTGGCCGCCCGCTCCAGGCCAGTGTACACCAGGCCGAAGCCGCGCACGGCGCCCGACGCCACCTCCAGAACGTCGTCCATCTGCCGGCCGGCGGGGGGGGGGGGGGGCGGCTCAGAGGGGGCGGCTCAGACAGCGACAGACCGGGACGGGAGGGGCGGGGAGGACGGACGGGATGAGAGGGGATGGCTAAAGCTGCGACAGGCAGGGGCGGGAGGTCGAGTTCCTTGGAATTCTGTCGCTAAAATTCACGCGATCTTCATGGCGAAATGTCTCGCCCGAAGACTTCTACTCCTGCCAGAAAATCACTACTGCGATATTCGAATAAGCCGGCCGAAGGCATCGTGTGCGGTGGCCCTCATTCATACTGCGACAGTGCGACAGACAGCATGATCTCAAATACCCTATCCCTCCAAAGGGTATTAATTTCATAATAAGACACCCCTTCGCTAATCTGGAATATAGGCCAGCTAGGAGAGACGCGGGGGGCTATCCACTGAACTCACCTTCCCAGTAGCGGCGTCCGGTGAACTCACCTTCCCGGCGGCGGCGTCCGGTGAACTCACCTTCCCGGTGGCGGCCGTCAGGTGAACTCACCTTCCCGGCGGCGGCCTTCTCGTCGGCCAGCCGGGAGCCCGTGATAATGCGGGTGCCCGTACGCTTCACGTGCGGCGCTATGTAGGCGGCCAGCGCCATCGTGCCGCGGCCCACCTGACCCACTGGCGACACGGGTCACACGCCACAGACACGGGTCACAAAGAGTAGACACAGGTCACACGCAGCAACATGGGTCACAGACCAAGACCACAGATAACACACCACAGACACGGGTCACAAAGAGTAGACACAGGTCACACGCAGCAGCATGGGTCACAGACCAAGACCACAGGTAACACACCACAGACACGGGTCACAAAGAGTAGACACAAGTCACACGCAGCAGACACGAGTCACCAATCACAGACACGGGTCATCGATCACAGACATGGGTCACACACAGCAGACACGGGTCACCGATCACAGACACGGGTCACAAACCACAGGCACGCCCACTGGAGATATGGTCCACGCCACCCGCAACACTCAGCAGGTTTACCCTCCGGCCCCCACCCCAACATCCAGCAGTTTCGACCGCGGCACTCACCGACATACTCGCTGACTTTGAGCGCGCCCACGGAGACCTTTTTGGCGGTCTGCGCGCCGCTCTGGAGTCGCGGGTCGATGTGGACGGGCGCCTTGGCCGGCGCCAGGTTGGACTGCAGCTGGTGGGTGCCCGTGGTCAGGTACTGACTGAGTTTGCCGGCGGCCGCCACCAGGCCCTTGGAGAGCAGCTCGGCACCTGCAGGCGCGGACAGCGGCGGGACAGGGCCGGTCAGCGTCCTACCGTGACGGCGGCGGGACAGGGCCGGTCAGCGTCCTACCGTGACAGCGGCGGGACAGGGCCGGTCAGCGTACTACCGTGACAACGGCGGGACAGGGCCGGTCAGCGTCCTACCACGACAGCGGCGGGGCCGGTCAGCGTCCTACCGTGACAGCGGCGGGACAGGGCCGGTCAGCGTCCTACCGTGACGGCGGCAGGACAGGGCCGGTCAGCGTCCTACCGTGACAGCGGCGGGACAGGGCCGGTCAGCGTACTACCGTGACAACGGCGGGACAGGGCCGGTCAGCGTCCTACCACGACAGCGGCGGGGCCGGTCAGCGTCCTATCGTGACGGCGGCGGGACAGGGCCGGTCAGCGCCCTACCGTGACAGCGGCGGGACAGGGCCGGTCAGCGTCCTACCGTGACAACGGCGGGACAGGGCCGGTCAGCGTCCTACCACGACAGCGGCGGGGCCGGTCAGCGTCCTATCGTGACGGCGGCGGGACAGGGCCGGTCAGCGTCCTACCGTGACAGCGGCGGGACAGGGCCGGTCAGTGTCCTACCGTGACAGCGGCGGGACAGGGCCGGTCAGCGTCCTACCGTGACAGCGGCGGGACAGGGCCGGTCAGCGTCCTACCGTGACAGCGGCGGGACAGGGCAGGTCAGCGTCCTACCGTGACAACGGCGGGACAGGGCCGGTCAGCGTCTTACCACGACAGCGGCGGGGCCGGTCAGCGTCCTATCGTGACGGCGGCGGGACAGGGTCGGTCAGCGTCCTACCGTGACAGCGGCGGGACAGGGCCGGTCAGTGTCCTACCGTGACAGCGGCGGGACAGGGCCGGTCAGCGTCCTACCGTGACAGCGGCGGGACAGGGCCGGTCAGCGTCCTACCGTGACAGCGGCGGGACAGGGCAGGTCAGAGTCCTACCGTGACAGCGGCGGGACAGGGCCGGTCAGCGTCCTATCCGGAGAGACGGACGCCGGAGAGCGGAGCGACGGGGAAGGGCTGCCGAGACCGGCGACGGCTCAGAGGAGACCAGGGGAGGGCTCAGAGGAGGGGAGGACTCAGAAGAGACCAGGGGAGGGCTGTCGAGACCGGGGGAGGGCCTTGGCTCTTCGGTCATGACCCGACCGGAAACGGTCTTGTTGCGTCAATCGATACGCATTGCACTGGACCTCGCATGCGTGTTGCGAGTTATTGGGTTTTCGGGTTTCTTCCAAATTAAAGACTACACTCTTTGTTTAGTGATTCACACCACCATGCAACAAGGGAGTCTGCATGTTTTTAGCATGCGAGCCACCTTTCATCGCATTCCAAAAGTTGATTTGAGTCAACTTTCGATTTTCCTCGCTGCGAGGGCTGCGAGTTTTGGTGTGTTTTGTTGAAGTCAATTTTGGTTTGTTGCGCTGTTATTGCGATAATATGCAATATTCTGAGGGTGTACCGGCTTCGCTACATTCATTTAGAATGCATTCAGAATGGTTTAATCGCTCCATGAATATTATACCCGCGAATCCAAAACCCGTAGACTCGCAACCCGCATGCGAGGTTTAGTGTCGGGCGGCCTTTAAGCTGAACACATTGCATGTGAGTTCCTCGCTCTATAAGGTCTGTATCAAAAGAAAATGTTATGTTATTACATGGCTCGTGTGCTAAATGGGTATAAACTAATTTTGAACGTTGACCGCAATTTCCACCTTTAAATTCTTTCTGAGGGATTGCATATTTGTGCTAATAACACCATGACAACGGGCAATGGTAATCCGTGCGTATATTTTACTACTTTTTCAATTTTCTTTTGAGGGGCGGCACATTCAGCAGCATTTATCAGCGAGTTGGAGCTGGCCATATAAAAAATGAATACCTACTGTATGGGTACGAGCAAAAATAAAAATATTGCCCTCTGTAACGCCGCTGTAGCCCTCGGACGAAGACCTCAACAACCATTATTGCCCTCGAAACATGTTTCGGTTTTCACGCTCGGGCAAAATGACGTCACATCAGGCTATAATTTTTACCATTGCCAGCTAAGCCATACAGTATTCATATATTGGAAAACTGCTGGTGGCCTTCTATAGCCTAGCAGGACTTTCCGAAGTGAGAGAGAGAGAGAGAGAGAGAGAGAGAGAGAGAGAGAGAGAGAGAGAGAGAGAGAGAGAGAGAGAGAGAGAGAGAGAGAGAGAGAGAGAGAGAGAGAGAGAGAGAGAGAGAGAGAGAGAGAGAGAGAGAGAGAGAGAGAGAGAGAGAGAGAGAGAGAGAGAGAGAGAGAGAGAGAGAGAGAGAGAGAGAGAGAGAGAGAGAGAGAGAGAGAGAGAGAGAGAGAGAGAGAGAGAGAGAGAGAGAGAGAGAGAGAGAGAGAGAGAGAGAGAGAGAGAGAGAGAGAGAGAGAGAGAGAGAGAGAGAGAGAGAGAGAGAGAGAGAGAGAGAGAGAGAGAGAGAGAGAGAGAGAGAGAGAGAGAGAGAGAGAGAGAGAGAGAGAGAGAGAGAGAGAGAGAGAGAGAGAGAGAGAGAGAGAGAGAGAGAGAGAGAGAGAGAGAGAGAGAGAGAGAGAGAGAGAGAGAGAGAGAGAGAGAGAGAGAGAGAGAGAGAGAGAGAGAGAGAGAGAGAGAGAGAGAGAGAGAGAGAGAGAGAGAGAGAGAGAGAGAGAGAGAGAGAGAGAGAGAGAGAGAGAGAGAGAGAGAGAGAGAGAGAGAGAGAGAGAGAGAGAGAGAGAGAGAGAGAGAGAGAGAGAGAGAGAGAGAGAGAGAGAGAGAGAGAGAGAGAGAGAGAGAGAGAGAGAGAGAGAGAGAGAGAGAGAGAGAGAGAGAGAGAGAGAGAGAGAGAGAGAGAGAGAGAGAGAGAGAGAGAGAGAGAGAGAGAGAGAGAGAGAGAGAGAGAGAGAGAGAGAGAGAGAGAGAGAGAGAGAGAGAGAGAGAGAGAGAGAGAGAGAGAGAGAGAGAGAGAGAGAGAGAGAGAGAGAGAGAGATCACCATCAGCCGCAGAGGGGCAGAGCCTGGCACGGGGCGGACAGCGCCGAGTCTGTCCGCGCCAGCAGCGGGTCGGCCGGCAGCTACTGCACCTACCGTTCAACTACAGGGAGAACTACACAGACAGCAGGGGCTGCACGGACTACACAGACAGCAGGGGCTGCACGGACTACACAGACAGCAGGGGCTGCACGGACTACACAGACAGCAGGGGCTGCACGGACTACACAGACAGCAGGGGCTGCACGGACTACACAGACAGCAGGGGCTGCACGGACTACACAGACAGCAGGGGCTGCACGGACTACACAGACAGCAGGGGCTGCACGGACTACACAGACAGCAGGGGCTGCACGGACTACACAGACAGCAGGGGCTGCACGGACTACACAGACAGCAGGAGCTGCACGGACTACACAGACAGCAGGGGCTGCACGGACTACACAGACAGCAGGGGCTGCACGGACTACACAGACAGCAGGGGCTGCACGGACTACACAGACAGCAGGGGCTGCACGGACTACACAGACAGCAGGAGCTGCACGGACTACACAGACAGCAGGGGCTGCACGGACTACACAGACAGCAGGGGCTGCACGGACTACACAGACAGCAGGGGCTGCACGGACTACACAGACAGCAGGGGCTGCACGGACTACACAGACAGCAGGGGCTGCACGGACTACACAGACAGCAGGGGCTGCACGGACTACACAGACAGCAGGGGCTGCACGGACTACACAGACAGCAGGGACTGCACGGACTACACAGACAGCAGGGGCTGCACGGACTACACAGACAGCAGGGGCTGCACGGACTACACAGACAGCAGGGGCTGCGCGGACTACACAGACAGCAGGGGCTGCACGGACTACACAGACAGCAGGGGCTGCACGGACTACACAGACCAGGGGCTGCACGGACTACACAGACAGCAGGGGCTGCACGGACTACACAGACAGCAGGGGCTGCACGGACTACACAGACAGCAGGGGCTGCACGGACTACACAGACAGCAGGGGCTGCACGGACTACACAGACAGCAGGGCTGCACGGACTACACAGACAGCAGGGGCTGCACGGACTACACAGACAGCAGGGGCTGCACGGACTACACAGACAGCAGGGGCTGCACGGCATCCTCGCAGGGTGTGGGGCCCGGCGACCACAAAAATTCCATCGGGATATCAAAACGACAAACTATACATCACTGGGTAGTGGGTAGTAGATGCAGATAAGCAGTTGGCAGACATCAGCCGGGGTTACCTATAGGGATGTGCGCAGTTCCCCGGGGTGCGCGGAGGTGCAGCAGAAGTGGAATGACGGACACGTATGTACAGTCTCTGTTGAAAGTACCGAGCCACAGTGCGGCCGTGCCAGCAAGTTCGACCGAGGGACGGCTGCAAGTTTGAGAGTCACCGACCCAATGGACCTGCGGATGGATGAGGATGTCGGGGAGGAAGGGATGGGAGAGGGCCGAACCGATTTCAGCCGCTGGTTCACCGGTACTTCCTTTCCCGTTTATCGGTACTTTCAAGGGAGACTGTACGTACACCATCGGGGCGGGCAGTTTTGTACCGGCTGTTTGGTGATCACTGATGGGTCCTATGTAAATGTCATCCGCTAAGCCTAATCATGCAATTCAACTTACAGAGGCTAATTAACATGCTGATGCCTACGCTATGCGCGGCTCTGGTTGTGATCCTTATTCCTCCAAAGTATGGCAAACTGTGTGCGGCGCCCGAGCGCCGCCAATGGCTACTGTCCCGTTGGCATAGCTCACCGGTAAGGTAGAGGTCCATAAATTCATGGCCATCTATAGAACGGGAGACATCAATACCAGAAACATCGCAGTTCGGCGGATTTTCGCGCGACAGGTGACAAACCAGCCGCAGTCCGCGTTTGGTGTCGAAATTACCACGGCAAGGCCATGGCAGAGCCACACGGACAGTGCACGCACATCCGCACACAAAGACAGGACCAGCATCAGGACGCCCACAGGGATGGTCCACTGTCACCTATGACGTATTTCTGCCTCCGCTAACGAGCGCTCAACAATTCCCGAGATCGCCACACGGACGCCTCGCCCTAACACCCCGGACACCCTCTGACCCCCTCTGACCCCCGCTCTGACCCACCTCTGACCCCCGTCTGACCCACCTCTGACCAGGCCGCCGGAGAGGACGGCCGCCAGCCGCTGGCGCTGCTCGGGGGTCGGGGCGGCCGCAGCGGTCGGCTCGCCGGGCTGCTGGACCAGCGCCGTCAGCTGCTCCAGCAGCTCCTCAAACTGGCCGCGCGCAGACGGCGCCACCGTCTCCGGCAGCAGCAGCGCCACGTGACAGCCTGCCGGCGCGCGGCGTCAGCACGGCGGGTTAACACTGAACACTGAACAGCGGACACACAGACTGCACAGCGGACAAACAATGCATTGCACAGCGGACAGACACTGCACAGCACCGCGGTCACACACAGCACCGCGGACAAACAATGCACCGCACCGCGGACAGACACTGCACTGCACAGTGCACAGTATACAGACACTGCACAGTGCACAGTATACAGACACTGCACAGTGCACAGACACTGCACAGCGGACAGACACTGCACAGCGGACAGACACTGCACAGCGGACAGACACTGCACAGCGGACAGACACTGCACAGTAAACAGACACTGCACAGTGCACAGTATACTGACACTGCACCGCGGACAGACACTGCACAGCGGACAGATTAATAAATAAATAAATAAATAAACAGACACTGCACTGCACAGTGCACAGTATACACACACTGCACAGCGGACAGACACTGCACATGTACAGACATTATTGGGACAACTCATCCGCCACTGGCCGGATCCAAGGCAAACACAACAAAGAGATGCGATACTACGAACCTTCAACTCAAAAGCTGATAACATTATTTGAGAAAAAAAAACTATCCAAGGCTCTGAACTAAAGGAAACCGTGGTTATCTTTGAGCACCATTTACAACCGAACGCGAGGAATGGACCGCCAGTAAGGCACCATAGCCTGTGAGGGCGGCCCCGGGGAGCGGGTAGCCGCGGGAGCACCCAGGAGGCGGCGCTCACCTGGCCGCTCCAGGTCCGGGAACATGTACGGCCCGAAGTTGCTGTGCAGCACCGGCGAGCATCCCGGCACCAGCGGGTACGTCCACTCGCCGCACTGCAGGAAGGCGGTCGGCGCGCCGGCCGACACCGCCCCGTCTGCCGGACGCAGCGGGCCGTCAGCGCAGCGGCGGCAGCCGGGGGACTGCCAGCCGTGTGGCCCCAGTGGCACAGCTCGCAAATGTGTATACCATTGGCGTGGGAGATCCCCGAGATAAAAGGTCACAACGGGCACCATAAAACTTCACAAAAAGCCTATCATCATCATTAACATTCAATTTACCACTAAGATTTAATACGTCAAGTGATCAATCAGCTACGCTCAACTAGATACAAAAGCATTAATACTGAATGCAAGCATTCATGGCCAGTTTCCAACCGCACGGGTCTTCGAAGGAGCAGTCGGCCGAATCGCGGACTGGGCGCCGGCCCGCCTCCCCCTGTCCCCGGCGCCGGCCCGCCTCCCTGTCCTGTCCCCGGCGCCGGCCCGCCTCCCTGTCCTGTCCCCGGCGCCGGCTCGTCTCCCTGTCCTGTCCCCGGCGCCGGCTCGTCTCCCTGTCCTGTCCCCGGCGCCGGCCCGCCTCCCCGTCTCCCTGTCCCCGGCGGCGCGGCGGCCGCGCTCACCTGGGAAGCGGCAGACCCGCAGCTCGTGCGCCGCCGTCGGCGCGCTCACCGCCCCGTCGGGCGCCACAAAGAACAGCTGAGCGCCGGACGGCAGCGCGAACAGCGTCTCGGCGTGGCTGGGCAGAGGCACGCCGTCGCCGTCGGACGCCTCGGCGATCTCCATCAGCGCGGCGGCCTGCTCCGACTCGGCGGCGGCGGCTACCTGGCGGCCGCCGACAAACGGTCTCCGTGACACCGCGGCGCATCTCACAGACACTGGGCGGCCGCCGACAAACGGTCACCTCCGTGACACCGCGGCGCATATCACAGACACTGGGCGGCCGCCGACAAACGGTCACCGCGGCGCGTCTCCGTGACACCGCGGCGCATCTCACAGATACTGGCGAGTAACGCTGCTGCGTCAGCAGGGGCTGCACTTTCATGACAACACACATAATATAACCAATAGTTTAATGCAATGACACCGGATGCGCGCTGCAGTTTCCAGCCCCCCCCCCCCTTGGCCACCATCACCACCACCACCAATAAACTATCTCGGGCTATGGAGGAGGCTACCAGCATATTGAGGTCATATGATGAACCATAATTATCCAAAGTTATCGCACAACATTTACACATGCCTTTAACCCGTGCCCCGCTGCACTGGGTGGATGGGGTGGGGGTGCTTGAACACCCCCTCTGAGGTTTTTTTTCGCCGAAAGGCTAAAAAACGGCGGCTTATACATATTTTCCCACATGTAAAAATTCCACGCCAAGGTCACTCAAGATCAGGTCACCAGGTCACTTCAAGTGACCTCACCTCATAAAAAGTTTCAATGTCTACTATAGCTACATCCAGTGACCGATCACTTTGAAACTTTCAGCGATTGATAAAAGTAACAGTATGTATAAAATGTTTATCTCTGAATTTTGATATCGGTGACCTAAGGTCAGGTCAATTTTGCGACCTCCTCATTACCAATAAGTCAATGGGAGAAAATTGAAAGGCGCCTCTTTTGAACTAACGCCATCTAAGCACTACCAAACACTGAATTACAAGTAACTATGATAAACTGAACATGAAAATGCTGTCCGTGACCCCTGTTTGTGCCCCTGAGGTCATCTCAGGTCACGAATGCTATCTAGTTTTTTTTTAGAGTTTTTTTTCGCGAATAACTTTTGATGGAAGCATGCTAGAGCGATGAAAACGCCTTAGCTGTGTTCAGCTCGAGAGTACGGATCGACTGATATGCAGCATGATCTTTTCCGGTCAGGTCATGACCTTGAACTGAGGTCAAATTTTCAAGCTGACCTTTCAGGGTCAAATTATAGTTCATTCGATGCGTCTTGAGAGGAACACGATGCTGGTGAAATCCACGGTGACTATAAATAAGCCGTGCAAAGGTTGAGTCAAAAGCTATTGCAGAAAAACTTTCCGCAAAAATCGTCTTATCAGTTTTGCCCCTGGAGGCAAAACCGTTGACGCTAGGTCACATCTGAGAGGACTATTTAGAAAAAGCGTGAATAGGGCTATCGAATGCGCTTTTCCGGGGCGCTGTAGCTCTATTAGTTCCCGAGTTATGCGTCAGCTTGTTTGAAATTGTCGACATTCGACCTGGAAATCGTGAAATTTGACCTTTAATAACCCAATTGGTGACTGATATTTGACCAGAGGCCAGTTTTACCAACAGAAAAATAGCCGGCTGCCGGATTTTTTTTTTTTTTTTGCTAAAGACCGCTTCACATACGGAGCGTGAACGCGATGGGCACGTAAGCGGATAGGGCTTTACCGTTTACGCTCCGTATGTGAAGCGGTCTTTAGCAAGAAAATTCCGGCAGGCGGCTCTTTTTCTGTTCGTAAAACTGGCCTCTGACCAAAAAAGTGACTGAAGTACTTTCGTCATTATTTTTGACGCTCTTTCCAACGTCGCCTTCCCCGTATCGCTACGAAGTCAAGGAGCCGGGCCAGAAAGGGGGAGGGGGTGTTCACCCCCCCCCCCGCAGCAGGGCGGGGAAATCCAGGACCACCAGCGTGGCGCCGGTTAAGGTTTTTGCAGTTACATGTTCAGCAGTCGAAGGTACGCACCGAAAGTTTCGTATCGACACGTAAAGTACATAGTTTCAAAGATACTGCAAAAATAAAACCGGAAGTATGACTCTGTACATACAGCCAGCCCCGCCCCTAGCCAGCCCCGCCGAGTGTTAGGGAAGCCATTGCTGTAGTGATTAGTCACAAATGTCGGCCCGGTGTCGGTCGCTGCGGTGACGTACCCGCTGCGCCAGCTGCGGACTGACGGACGTCTCCGGGGGCACGGCCGGGTACAGCGGGCCGCTGTCGGCCGGCACGTCCGGGTACAGCGAGCAGTAGGACGGCGGCGCGTCCGGCGGCGCGTCCGGCGGCGCGTCCGGCACGTCCGCCGCCGACTGGGCGTCCACCAGGCGGGTCAGCGTCTCCTTCCTGCCGGCCGATAGACGGCACCGTCAGCGGACACAAGGCCAGCGAGCGCTGCACCAACAGCGCCGCCGCACACATCGGCCGTCAGCCGCGGCGCTTAACCCGCGCCCTGCTGGGGGTCCTGGATTTCCACGCCCTGCTGGGGGGGGGTGTTTGAACACCCCCCCTTCTAACTCGGCTCCTGGGCCACGTAGCGAAACGCGGAAGGCGGCGTTCGAAAGAGCGTCAAAAATAATGACGAAATCACTTCAGTCAATTTTTTGGTCAGGTCAAAGGTCAGGTCACCAGAGGTCATTAAAGGCAAAATTTCGGCGATTTCCAGGTCGAATGTCGACAATTTCCAAGAAGCCAACGCATAACTCGGGAACTAATAGAGCTACAGCGCCGCGGAAAAGTGCATTCAATAGCCCTATTAACGCCCTTTCTGAGTAATTCTCTCAGATTTGACCTAACGTCAACGGT